CCTTGGAGGCTGAAAGAAGGATGTCATTACCTTCTTAGTGCGTGTTGCTTTACCCTATTTTTCTTTATTTTATAAGAAAAATCTTCCCTACCCAGAGGACACTCAAGGAACTGTCGCTCGGGGGTAGTTTAGAGGGTAAGGTGGATGAAAAGGCAGATACACTGAAGGAACAGATACAGAGATGCAGAGAAAGCCCTAGAGATGCTTTGCGTAGGCCTGAACTGCAGGGACCGGGTACAAACCTCTGCCTGCAGTTCTTCTTTCATCATAGGTGGCCTTAGTAACAGGAACATAAATGACAGTGCTAGGTGAACTTCCTTCTCACCCACTGGCAGATAACGGGTGACCACAAAAGCAGTTATCAACTACTGAATTATCTACGATTTCCCAGGCACTGTGCCCGGTGCTCCACACCCCTCAGCATACTTGCTCTTTTTTTGGTAGAAAGCCTCAAAAGGCCACGTGGATTCAGGTGGATTAGAGAAAAATACAAATTTTCATATCTATGAAGTATGACAGAAAAATACAGTAGGTGCCAAATTTTTAAAGAATTCATTACAGTAAAAGATACGTTGTGATTAGTCCCCCTCAGAATGCTCGCCCTCACCTCTAACACACTTATCCCATCATTCCTGCCACTTTCTGAAGCAGTTCTGGAAGTCCTCTTTCTTATCTTTAGAAGTGCTGTTGAGCTGCCTCACTGTCCTGAATTGATTCAAAACATTTACCTGTCAGGGTCATTCTGACCTTGGGGAAGAACCAGGAGGCACCCGGTGCCAGGTCCAGTGAACAAGGACACACCTTCATGTTTTTATTTGGCAGACATTGCTGGAAATATTTTTAATCGATTTAGGACTTTGAAGCAACCACACAAAGACTCACGAAAGAGGACTCCCAGAACTGCTTCAGAAAGTGGTGGGAATGATGCGATAAGTGTGTGAAGCAAGAGGGGGTACCTTGAGAGGGATTCATAGCAGTGTGTCCTTACTGTAATCACTGTTCAAATGAAAGCATTTGCCATGTATTTTGATCACACCTCATCAGTGTTGGTCCTCATGCCCTCCTTTTTGGTGCCACTGTAACGGGCATCCAGAAGGTAAGGTGACGGAAACTAACAGCTCTTCTACAAGTCATCACTCACATAGTGGAGGAAGCCCTGCAAGCCCCTGTCTTCTCTCTTTCTGGCTAAGCAACTGTCTCCTTAATTATTCCTTCTATAAAGGGAATTCTAGACTGCTCAGCATCCTTCTCTCCTGTAAAGCACACTCTTTGTCATTAATCTCATAACATGGTGGAATAAATAGGTGGCCCAAACCACCCTGAGTATCTCCCAAATGATTTTAAGGACACCCCAAATCCTGGGAGCAGAAAGTGAAGTCAGCACTGCACACTCTGGTGAGAGCCATGGGGAAGTGAGAAGCAGCTGCGTGAAGCAAAGCTCTGGTTCTATATTTTTATCTTTATTTTTCATATCATAGAAATAATGCTGTTAGAAATATTTATTCTAAGGTATTCAGAATTCATAGATTCTTTTAAAAATAGTGAAATAAATATATTCTGTATTTCAAATAAATTTCATGAACAAAAAACAATAAATAAAAACAGAAATGAAAGCTGGTTATGGTGGCACACACCTCAAAATCCAAGCTACTCTGGAGGCTGAAGCAGGAGGATTGAAAGTTCTAAGCCAATGAGGGCAATTCAGTGAGACCTTGTCTCAAAATAAAAAGTAAAAAGGCTGGAGGTATAGCTCAATGGTAGACCACTTAACTTGCATGTGAAAACCTGGGTTTGGCTGGGGATATAGCTAAGTGGCACAAGCGCCTGCCTGGCAAGCACAAGGTCCTGAGTTTGATTCCCAGTACCAAAAAAAACCCAAAAAACCTGAGTTCATCCCTGGTACCACAAAAATGAAACAAACATACACATACAAACGTATATAAATGTAAACATTAAACTCATATTTCTAATATAAATTATTGGCAATAAAATAAATACTGCTAACAACTATCCTGCAGATGATAGAAGAAAATATAGTCATGAAATCCTGATAATTGGGTTTGACTTTTAAAATGATGTATGATGTTAAAAACAGATGTTTACTAGTCATTATTAAGACCAAGAATATTTTTGTATAAAGTTTCTGACCTTTCAAGTGTTATGCTTTGATTTGTTTCACCTTATCTTTTGTATTTGTACTAGAAGCCTTTTATTTTTGGTTACTATTAAGCTTATATAAAGCATGTTATAGCTATAAGACTAAACTAATAGCAACTAAGCCAGGTGTGGTGGCACATGCCTGTAAATCCAGCACTCTGGGAGGCTGAAGCAGGAGGATCACAAATTCAAGCCCAACCTGGGCATCTTAGTGAAACCCTGTATCAAAAAATAGCAAAGGACTGGGGACATAGCTCAGTGCAAAGGCCCTAGGTCCAATCCCTCATACCAATAATTAATTAATTAATTAATTAAAATAAAGTAAAATTTAAATCACATAAAAATGCCCAGACTTTTACTTTTCCCCTCCTCTTACATTTTATGCTTTGATTTCATATTTTACATCTTTTTGTATTACATATCAATTAAAACTTATTGTAGTTTTAGCTTTTAATACTTTTGTCTTTTAACTTTTACTCAAGAGTTAGAAGTGACTTATATACTCTCATTACTTCTGAATTTGACTATATGTTTCTCCTTACCACTAGATTTTCTCCCTGCCTATGTTTATGCTTTTCATGTTGTTACTTAGCTCTCTTTAGTTTCAAGTCAAAGAACTTACCTCAGCATTTTCCTGAAGTCTATCTAGTGATCAATTTCTTTAGCTCTTGTTTGTCTAGGAATATCTTTATGTCTCTCATTTCAAAAGATAGTTTTGCAGGATATAGTATATTGGCTAGGGTTTTTAGTTTTTTTCAGCCCTTTGAACATCATTGTATTTCTCATGGCCTACAAGGTTTCTGCTGGAAAATGTGCTGGTAGCCTCATGAAATGTCTCCTATATGTGACAACACTCTTTTCCACGAGTGCTTTCAAAATTCTCTCTTTGTCTTTGACTTTTGAGAATTTGATTACGGTAATTTAGAATATTCATTGGGGGGTTAATCTTTCTTGGAATCCTTTGAGGTTTAGGAAGTTTGATGTCCATTTCTCTCCCAAGATTTAGGAATTTCTCTGCTATTTTTTCTTTCAAGGAGCTTTCTCCCCTCTTCTCTCTGTGCTCCTGAGACTTCCATAATTTGTGTATTCATTCACTTGATGGTGCCTTTAGGTCCCTTATACTTTCTTTGCCCCTTTTCATTGTATTTTTTCCTATAATTAATTTTAAATGTCTTTAGTTTTATTAATTCCTTTTTCCACCTGATTGAATGTGCTGTTGAAGCTCTCTGTTGTATTTTTAATCTGTCATTATAGTTTTTCAGTATTGCTGTTTGGTTCTTTTATTTGATTTGTTTCTATTTCTTATTTAGACTTTAATTTTGTCCTGATTTTGTTTAACTGTTTCATTCTCTCTATGTCACTGAGCTTCTTTAAGTTGATTATTTGGGTTTCTTTGCCAGGAACTTTGGAGATTTCCAAGGCTTATTAGTTTCCTTTAGTTGTACCACATTTTCCTGACTATGTTCTATGCAGCCTTATGTTGGAGTTTGTGCATTTGAAGGAGCATATAGCAATCTTTATAGACTGGTTTCAGCAGACAAATAACTTCTCTTTTTGGGTCCCTGAGCCGACAGAATTGCAGCTGGCTCATTGACTACTGCTGGGTCCTCAGTAGGTCCACATTTGCCTGGTTTATTACCAGGGCTTTAAGTTCTTTCTGGTCTTTCAGAAGACTCAACTGCCTCCACTGCCTTGATCAGTAGGGTTGGTGCTGGGTGAAGGGTTTGCTTCAGGTTCTGTGGTTGGGACAACTGATGGTGGGCCGATTACCAGGTGGGCACATAAGCATGGCTCACTCCAAGTCCCTGGATGGGCTTTTGGAGAGGCAGCACTGCTCTTGGATCGTGGCTGAGAGGGGCTGGAGCTGGGTCGCACAGCTGCTTCAAGATGATTGCAGTTAGGCTGAGGTCAGCAGATAGGCCTCAGGGGGCGTGTCTGCTGGCTGGTCTCTGGCTGGGCAGGGCTGCATCTGGACCGAGCCTGGGGGTGAAATAGAACTGGGTTTCAGGCTCACTTCAAGATCTTCAGAAGGACCAAGGTCAGCGGGAATACAGTCTCATCTCTCCACAGGTCCCCCAGTGGGCAAGCTGCTGCTGTCAGATGACCCATGGGAGGGGTAGTGCTGAGTTATGGGGCATTTTAGGATTTGCTGTGAGACGGAGGTCAGCAGCCTGACTCCAAAAACATGGGCGGTCATGACTCTCAGTGGGTCCCTGGGAAGATGAGACTGCTCCCAAACCACAGCAAAGGAGGCTTTAGCTGAGTGAGAGGGCCCATTCAGATCCTACAACTATAACTAAAGCCAGCAGACCTGTAACCAGAGGCAGACGGTTCTGGTGGCTGGACCAAGGCCAAAGAGATTCTACCTAAGCCCATAGTGGGGTGAGACCATTTCTGGGCCAGTAGTCCAAATCACAGTTGGTGGAGCCTGCCGCCTGGGTGCTGGCCTGCCCTTGAAAACCGCCCTCCTGCACCAGGGTTATACAACTTCCTGCCCAGTTTGCAAAGCACCCACAAAGATACTTATTGATGAAAGGCTGCTGAATTCTTGTTGCTGTGGGGGAAGAGGTACCAGAGACCTCCCATTCTGTCATCTTGCTTTTTACTATTATTATTTGCATGTTTGCTAAAGTTAGAGTAACGTATCATACTTTGTGTTTTATAGAATACTGCTGTGTTGTGTCACCTGGTACTTTAGCATATATTTTAATATAATTATTTACTAGAAATTGTGCACAAATTACAAAAATAACATCACAAGACAACAGCTTAAATAAAAATGAAAGGGTTCCTGGTAGCACTAGCTTAATGTTTATTGTTTAATGTTGCTTTTCTCCCCCCAGCAATATTTTGATGTAGAGGAAGAAAAAACTTCTTTGCAAGATGCAGAAAATGTCAAGTTGGGTGTTTTGTCAAGAAAACTGAAAGAGAAAGAAGAAATTATCAATGAATTAAGAGAGCAACTAGAACAATGTGAAGGATTTGAAAAACTTGTAAGTTTCAAGGCAAAACATAATTAACTTTAATATCTGTAAATAAAGTAAAGATAGCTTAAAAAGCTTGGGTTAAAAATGAATGGAAGTGAATTAATACATCTTGGACATCTCCCTATAATGTAAGCCAGTCTGACACTTTACAGTTCAATAGCATATTTTACAAAACTCATAATAATTGTGAACAAGAACAATGTAGAAAAAAAGAACAATGTAACTGTTCTGAATTTTTCCTTATAATGGACATAAAATAACCTACCTCCAACTGCAAAAAAAAAAAATCACACTCTGGAAGAGCATAAAAATGGATTTTTGTTGTAATCCTCAAGACTTCTACCTTTTTTGCAACCAGGATACCTGGAAAAACACAAACCTAGTCTTCTCAAGTCAAAGGTTTCCAACAAGCCACAGACTGTTGGAACAGATTGAGCTTTAAATAAAAATGTCAAAAAAAAAAAAATCACCCTACTTCTAATTTTCCCCATTGCAATGGAATCCAGGAGCTGCTTTAATACTTGGTCAAAAGATGGATGGAAATAAAAAATTAAGGGGCAGAAAGGCAAGCCTAAACTTTCACTCTGGAAGAGAATTTTTAAGGGCCTTTAACCACTTAATGATTTACCTTGAGCACCAGGTAGGTAGTACACTTGTTTATGTGCTGACTATTCCAAACATTGCTCAGACAGTTGTCATTTCAACCAATCCATTCTTGTATTGAATAAATTTGATAAAATTGTTGCTTTTATATTTCCTGTTATCTTATAAAAGCTAATGAAAAATGCAACTTCTGGTCATCCTATATTTAAATAATTGGACCGGCAAGTTTTAAAGTGTGGGTCTTGAAAGCAAGTTTAATTTTACCTCATGTTAGCTCTGAGGTACCAACTGTCTCAGGCCCAACTGCAGTGCAGAGCCAAAGCTGATTTAATTCTTAGGTTCTATGAGCAAAAAGCTGATTGGAACCTGGGCATATAGCTCAGTGGTAGAGCACCTGCAACGGGTTCGGTCCTCAGTATAAGAAGAAAAATCTGATTGGTTAGGACAGGCTGCCAGCTATGCCAGGAGGAATAAAAATCTAATGAATTTTTTTATTCCCAGAAGGAATAACAATCTATTGGATACCAGCTACAGTCAAGTCTCCATGTCCAAAATGCTTGGAACAAGAGGTGTTTTGGATTTCTTTTTAAATTCGCATTACATGAGATAACTTGGGAGTAGAACCTAATTCTAAATGAGAAATTCATTTGTATTTCATCTACACAATTTCTATAATATTTGAATAGTTTTGTGCATTAATCAAAACTTTATGGTGTGGGATTTCTCACTTGTGGTATCATGTGGTGCTCCAAAAGTTTCTGGTTTTGGAGCATTTCAGATTTTCAGATCAAGGGTGCTCCACCTCGAGCAGATACCAGGTGCCTCATCAGTAAGTTCTCCCTTCATTCTGACAGCTCAGTTTACAGAGGAGGAAACAGGAGCAGGCTGGGTATCCAACTTTGCCATGGGCAGGCAGCTAGTAGTGGTAAAGCTGGCATGTGAGCCAAGGTCTACTTCAATCCAAGGGAGATGGAGCTTTATACTCTATAGTAATAGTTAAATATTATAATGGATACACAAATTACACTACCATGGTATGTGTTTCATGTTATAGCACATTACTATACTGATACACATGTGTGTACACATGGAAATGTTGGCATATACATATGCACAAGAAAAGCCTGGATGGTTACATGGCAAAAAGTTAACACTAGGAAGAAACACTATGGATTGCTTGTCACGTCAAGTGAGATCTATAGCTTACCTAAATCCCAGATTAGTATTCTTATTTACCACTCCAATGTTAGAAGAGATGAGAAAATGAATATAAACCATTTTAAAGGACCATGTTTACTAACTAGTGAAGGAGTACTTGCTTTGTTAATCTATTAGAATTCCTTATGTACATTGAGCACCTTTTAAGCAATGTAGTATTAAATACATTATGGGCATAGATCAAATAAAATTGAACATTATTTTTATAAGTCCTGATTTCATTGGAGTAGGAACCACATCATTCAATATTTGCATTTATCTTCTTTAATCTTTTCCTGACACTGCATCTACCCATATTGTTTGAGAAAATAATTTAACAGAAAAGACTAAAAGTTCTCATAGCCAGGTTTTAATCCTGCCATGACCAAAGATATCCACCAGAGCTGTCCCAAGGTCAGTTTGGTCCATTTAGTTCTCATTTGTGAAAAAACAAGGTTATACTTGCTTGGCTAAAGTAGAGTTAGGGTAAGTATACCAGATGTATTGAATGTGAACGGTTTTGAGTGCTTCAAAGAAAGATTAGAGTATAAATTCTAGTTAGAAGAAATTCGGATGCTCTTATGACCATCTGGTTTATGTCCCATAAAATATACAGAACAGAACTTTAGATGTTACCAACATCCTACTTCAGTGAGAGAGCCCCTTACACTTTATTCTTCCCAAATCTTTACACTTCTTGGTGCCCTCCTAAACTGGCGATTTGGTCTGTCTGGATATTCTGGGACAAGAATAAGGATGGGCGGTGGACAGCAAGTAGGAGGCTGCCCTCCACTTAGGTGTAAGTGGTGTGTTCTCTGGATCAGGCTGGCATCCAGAACAGCTTGGGCATTATTGTACAATAACTCGCCCACCTGGGAACCACATGAGATATTTTATTAGCACCCTAATATTTGTGGAAGGTGAGGTAATTCTAACTAATGAAGCATAGAGATCTCTCCTGGGGAATTCAACAAAATGTATGGCCCTGGTCTCCTCACTAAAGGTGATGGGAAGAACACACCTAAGTGCCACAAAAGCAGGTCATGGGTTACATCAAACAAACCAATGGAAAACACTCCAGAATCTTCTAAGAACAACCTTTCCTGGTGCACCCTGCCACTTCCAGATTTTACATATATACATACATATGCATATGTTTGATCTTATACAACTGCCCCCTCTAGTGGCACAAAACCCCCTTGAGACATAATCTAATTCTAACCTGTAATTCTATTTGGAAGACAGAATTTCCAGGAACGATTAAAAATTTCAAAGTAGCACTGGAAATAAGTTGAAATAAACATGCTTTAGTTGACTTATCTAAAATGATCTATTATCTATTCTTATCTAATTATCTATAAATTATGTAATTATTCTTACTGATAATCAGATTACACAAATAGCTTTTTTTTAGTTGATAAGGAGTCACAATACCTCTCCCAGATTGCTTCTGAGAGAAATATAATGAGAATGTAATAAGAAAGAGAAAATTCAACGAACAGATACTCGAAGTTATATTTTTGACAAAAGGGAAATCAGAAAAGGAAGCTCCTTAAATTTCAGAGTTCTGCTCACCTGTCTCCAGATGAGAGCATACTTCACAAATCAATTTTCCTGAAAGCATGCAAAGGATGAGATTCACACTTTTATTCTGTAGAAACCAGTGTAAGTTGGCTGCATAACATTGTAGGTATCCGGCTAGCAGGCTGTCCTAGTGCCCTTGAGAATTTATAAAGGAGGGTAGCCTATCAGTGTGTGTGTGTGTGTGTGTGTGTGTGTGTGTGTGTGTGTGTGCGGGTGCATGTGTGGGCACATATGTATTTTAATTTCCACTGGAGTTGCTGTGCTGAATAGACTTTTCATTTCTCCCTCTTACCCCAACATGGATGAGCTGTGTGACCATCACTCACCCACCCTCTACTGGTGGACGTGTCTGCTTGATGCTGACAACTCTGAAACAGAGTTGTCATTCAAGAGTGGCATCTCTGCAGGGCCGCACTGCCCCAGTGTGCCACTTTCCCGGTTGTCACTCACTGGAGAAGCACCTGCTCTTCTCCATGACTGTCAGGAGGCATGAGCATGCATGTCAACCCTACTCATCCCCCAGTGTCAAATTGAGATGTCTGAGTACTATACATGGAGCCTCAGGATTAAGATGCTGACATCGCGGAGGCGGGGGAGGGCGACTGCTAAGAACGCACAGAAAGGGCTCTGACCCAGGGCTTCTCGGACACTGTTCCTATGAGTCACCTGCAGATCTTGGTAAAATACAGATTCTGGTGTAGTAGCTCTGGGCTGGAGCTTGAGCCTGTGTTTAGTAAGTTCCCAGACAATACTAAAGCCATGAACTGAGGTCCATGAGCCACACTTCAAGTAGGAAAAGCCTTGATTAGACTGTTTTGTTTCGTTTTGCCTTTAGAGACTCAACCTGGGATTCAGAGACCTAGAAAGAGTGATTCTGTGCATCTTATAAATATGCACAAGAGACAGTGCATATGCCACTAACTAGAGTCCTAGTTTTCATAATATTCTAGAAAAATCTGAGAATGGCAATTTCCTGTTAAATGTAAAATTCCAGTCTAACCATGGATCACCCACAGTCTCTCCTAAGTATAATGTGGTTTTAAATAGCTACACTCAATTAACTGCCTTTTAATGATCGCCATCCTACTCAACCTTGTTTTATTAATGCAGTTTATTTTAAAGGGGTCTCATGGTTTAAGCAAACCAAAAACTGGCAGTGTGGGCAGATGGCAGGAAAAACACCACCACAAAACCTGCCGCTTAGAGTGCAACAGGGCCTTAGCAGCCCAGAACTACCCCTTTCTTTGTTCGTTTTGCTAATGAGTATCCTAGCCGTGGGCGGCTGAATCCTTAATTATTTGCAGTTCCTAAAGCTGACAGATGGTGGGGACAGAGCTAAAGGTTAACCGCGCGGGAGTCAGGGCTGCAGATTGATAGGTGGAGGAAACACCACCCCCCATAGGTCTTCCCTGGGTCATACAGAAAGACTCTTAGAAAGTATATTTAGGACTTAGCTGTTACCAAGTGTACATTTTACACTTCATCAGAGACATCCAAACAGTTCTATAGTTTATGATAATGTACGCTCATGTCATTCTCTGGGGATTTTCATAATCTGCCACGGTTAGGAAATGCTTGCTTAAACCTGTTAGGCCTCATGTTCGTTTGTTTAAAAAATCCTTTTAGTTTATAAACACATTCTGTGATGGTCTCAAGTTGAACAATGTGAGACAAGAAATTAATGACTGGGATTCTTCCTCCATTAACACAATAGACTTTTTAGTACTCACTAACAATGAATTGGGTTCAAATAACTGCAATGCAGCGGAGAATCAAAATCTTAAAGATTTGCAGCTGGAGTGTAGCTCAGAGGTAGGGAATTTGTTTAGCATACATGAGGTCCTAACCTTGATCCGCAACACCATACCCCTCCCCGAAAAAACCTTGAAAATTTGTGACTCAGCTTGGTGTGACACATTTTAACAACATATTTTCAATAATAATTCTGATGTGTATGTATATAATTTCATTAGTAAGTCACTTGTCTTGTAAAGGATTTACTAGTGTACTATAAAACATTTCAACCACTTATTTTTCTTTTAAACCATTACAACACAGCGGAAAACATTTTAACAGTTTCCTCACCAGTATCTCTAACGTGAAATACAAGCAAAGGTCCAAAAACAAACCAATATGTTGGAAGAAATATTTTGTTTTTAAGGGGATGTTTTATTCTTATTTACTTGTGATCATGGGATTATTGTAAAAGGAATAGGCTACTAGTCACCTGAAGATCAAAGTTGAAAAGTATTATTTGCAGAACCTGTAGTAATTTTTAATTGAGACGTGTAATATTTTTCTCCCTCAGCATAATCAATGTTTTGTGAATATTTTTGAGATTGCATAATCCATTTAATATTTTACCATGATGAAGTCTAAAATTCTGTACCAGCCTCCCCAACCTATTATATCTTAATTTAAAAAACAAAATGTGTGGCAGTAAAATCTACACATCCATAAGGGAGTATATTCAGATGGTTTCAATAGCTTTTAAACAGACAAGAAGAAGAAGAAGAAAAAAGAGTAGCTGTCCCAATAAGCTTCTATTGCGTAAGAAAAAGCCTCTCCCATAATGGACATGGCAAGATTTAAACAAAAGACGCACATAATAAAAATGTAAATGAGTTTGCTTTACTAAAACTATAACTTTAAAGTCTTTTGTTGCAAGTTATCCTGAAACCTTCTTACAAGGTAATCACTGTTTGCATAGAGATTTAAACCGAAGTCTTCAATAGCATTCAGCGCCTGCACAGCCCCCGTGTGACAGGCATGCAAAGCCATGTTAATGTTCAGAATATGAATTGCCTCTGGGTGGCTCCTCCACTCAGCAGAAAACCAACTGTGTGCGTATCCGCGCGCCTGATGGGCGCCGTGCGGCTCCCAGCCTGAAAACGTCACCGCTTTGACATGCGGTGTGCTCCTCACGACACTGGCAGCGCTGACACTGGGAAATGCCACAAAGGCAACAAGCCCCCCTCCTTAGCCATGCACTCTGCCACCCCCTGGCGCTGCCCGCCCGCGGTCTCCCCAGCCTGCCTAGTTACGGCGGACAGCACTTCAGACACACAGAGGGAAGGGTGGGTGGAGGGGCCCCAGCTGCCTCCTGGACACAGCCTCCGTAATGAATTGATGTGAATGACGAGGGCGCACGAACAGTATGATATGCATTATTCCTGTCAATAAAATGTCCCCATGTGCTGGGGTCTTTGTACAGAATGTACTGCGGCCTTTCTTCCTGCGAGCTCTGTTTGGTCTCCTTCCTTTTTACTATTCATATTATAAGTGTGTAATAGAATTCAGAAAATTATATGATAGCTCTTCTGTATCTGCATTGTCCTACTGTTGCATACTTAAATCTTCGGCTCCCTGCTTAGAGATGCGGAATTCCCTATCTTTCAGGACACTTTTGCCGAGGCCAGCTCTTCCAAATTAAACTTAGAAAGGGAAAACTGGGAGCACAGAACGGAAAACGAGAGACTGCTCAAAGTCATTTCGGATCTTGAAGAAGAACTCAAACTCAGTGTAAAAGAAAATTCAATATTAGGTAATATTTTGAAACCATTGTTTTTTAGAAAAAAACGGATATGTAAAATTTATTGCTAGTCTTTTCCATAGGTATATTTGTTTGGTTGTTTAAAGATCAATTTGATAGTTATCTGTGCTTTTCTTTTAATAGAGCATTGCTTGCTTACAGCAAAGGACTTACGTGTAGTTGTAAGTCTGGACCATGTTATGTTAATTTAGAGTGTTTTGTTCAAGCCAGACGTTGGCCTCTGCAAAACAATGTGCTAATCACTATTCTACTTCCCTTAGAAATATTATTAACAGATAGAAAATTTTGCTGATTTATTGCATATGCTTAACTGATCATCTAAACTATAGCATTTACATACTTAAACATATCATTTGGATATGCTTTGTACGGAAACACAGTTAGCCCCTCAGCAAAAAAATGCTTACTACTTAATTTTCTTCTATTTTTGATACAAATTTTTGGTGTAAATTTTTATATGGATACTTTATATCCCCCTTTTTCTATACCATAAACATTGATAAGAGCTACATTCAAATCACCACAGTTAAATTTCTTTAAGTCTTTTTTTCACTGAGTTACCATCGTTGTGTTTATGTTGATTATATGATGCTGCCTTTAACCTGCAGTGGGAAAAGCAACAACCAAGGAATAAGCAACTGGGTAAAACAGGATAAAATGAGATACAGCATCCCTTGGATATAAAGTTAAACTTTGCCAACGTGATTCTGCTTTTCTTCTGATGCCTTTTCAGGTTTGCGTAATTCCTACTGAGTCATAGTGTGCCACCTGCTAAAGCACTTTGTATTGGCTGTGACTAACAGCAAAAATGTCCTCTGCTAGTATTGATGAAAAGCGTTCAGCCCTCGGCCACACTTGGATCTTGAACTTACTTCTTAATCTCTCTCTGACCAGCCGACTGAACAGCAGGAAGAAGGCTATGAATGTCAAGGGCAGTTGTGAAGGTCGCAATCCTGCTAAGACTTGCGTCCACTGTTCCTTCTAGTGGCTTCTCAGCCTGCCCTGAAGCAGGCAGTTTGAATACAGGGGCATATGCATGTAATTTCATGGTTGGCCTCTCTCTCCTTTTGTTTACAGAAGATGAACTTATAAGTCTGAAAGAGATCTCAGAGAAGAATCAGAAAACTATTCAAAAGGTACTGTAACATTTTTACATTGATAAATGACTTTTTAAAAACTGAACTACCAACACTCTGTGTCTGGAGTGTCTTAGGATAAAGGGAAAAGCTGGCCTATACATTTCCCAGTTATATAAGTGTTATTATATATTTCCATGTTATTTTGGGAAGAGTAGCTAGTAATGAATAAGAATTTGTTCTTGAAAACTTCTTGGTGTAGAGATCCTTCTTTTGTGTGGGACAACTGGACATCTACCTTGTTGGTGATAAAGAAATGAAAAGCTACATGATGCAGGAAAGTCCAAAGATGTGCTTGTCATCATGGGGAAAAGAGATTTTTAAGAACGAGTGGCCTCATTTTCTGGTCAAATGTTGGTAGGTGTTGGCTGATGTTCTTTCTTCTGTATGCAAATCAGCTTATGTTATCTGATAACTCTCTGCTTAGAACAGGGAATTATTTTGTCATCAGAAAAAGGGAAGATTTCCTCGAGCATGGAAGGTGGCAGGACAGGGACAGTTCTCGTTAGTTCCGTGGGGGTCCCTGTGTTGTTGTACCCTCCTACGTGGCACTCACCACACACTGCCTTCATGGCTGGGGTTCCAGGCATCCTGAGAGCTCCAGGAGGGTGCAGTCTGGCATGTCCCAGTGTCGATATAGTCTTAGTGCCAAACCCAGGGCTGGGTACCCAGAAAGGTGCTCTCAGAGTGATGAATGGGACAAGGATGAGTGTAGAGTTCCTAACATTTACACATGAAAAAGCAAATTCACATTCCCAAAATATTCAGCAACTGAACCAAGTACCAATGTTTAAGTTAAAAGTAATTAATACTAAACAAAGTTTAGAGTTTAGTTCCTCTAACCCAGGCACCACATTCCAAAAGCATGATAGTAGCAGCATGTCCCTGAGGTTAGGCTCAGATTTCAACCAGTTCTGATCCTGCAGTTCAGGGTAGTGTTCGATTTTAGATTTTTTTTTTTTTTTTTCTGTGCTTGGAATGGAATCCAGGGCCTTTCACATGCTAGGCAAGCACTCTGCCACTGACCTACATCCCCAGCCCAAGAGCTAAAACACTTCTTTTTTACAGAAATAGTTACCCAATAGATCAGAGTTCTCTGATCACTCAATCCTACATACACTTTCACAAAATGATTTTTCTTGTGTTTGACCACATTTGCAATGATGACAGTATAAATCCTTCCATGTAAACATAACAGAGTCTGTGAACAAACAAGTTTAACTTTCTTGACATCAACTTCTAGGGTTAAAAATGAAATCTCATTATTCTAGTTTCATTTAACCTACCAGGGAACCACCACCAATTTACTTGAAGTGTCTCTAAAGCTATTTTTTAGTCTATACTATCGCTGTTGGAAATGAACCATATAAGCTTCCTACTCTATGTGAGGAATACAATTAGAAATTCAGGCAGAAGTCTCAGTAATTACCATTTAGAAGGAAATATCCCCCGAGTGGCTGCCTCGTGTCTGTGTGATCTGTGTATCAACCATGCACTGCCTCAGTTTCTAGACCCACACCTCCTAGGGGCCTTCTGTGGGGCCGCTGAGCACTTGAAATGTGGCCAGTGCAACTGAAGAACTGAAGTTTTAATTATTTTAAATTTAAAAACTGATGCTTATCTCAGGTATTAAAAGACCTTTATATGTATTCTTAATAACTTGGGTGTTATTTGTACATTTTTTGAAATCTAAATACAGATAAAAAAATTTAGCTCCCAAATCAAAGAAAAATGGAAAATGCACACTAGATATCAAAGACTCAATATAAAAAATGTCAAGTAGTTCACAAATAGTATTGAATATTAACTACACATTGAAATGATAACTTTAGTTACATATTGAAATAAATACAATGAACTATTAAAATTGCTTTTTGTTATTTTTAACAGAACTACTGTAAAATTCAAAATCATATCTATCACTCACATTTTGTTTCTATTTGACATCTCCATTCTTGACAAGTATAGCCGTTTCTTGATCTGCTTATTTTTTAAAAATCCTGTCTCTCTTCTTTACTTTTTTCTTTGTAGTTGCTGGTACTCCACACCAACATTAAATATAGTTCTAATCTGGTATGCAGCAGACAGTATCTAGAACTTTTAGGCTCTTGTCACATTTGTGCCTCTGTGTCACACACAGCCCCATGACAGTCTCTTTTCCCTCCTTTCTGTTTCACTCTTGCTTACTGTGTGGATAGAACTGTGTGGACAGAGTACTGTAGATGTGAAGGTGGTTTGCCAGCTGGATAGGAGATCAAGTTATTGAACAAGTGAAAGCTGGTATTAGCTGATTTGTTCCTATTATTCTTCAGAGTCAATTAAGTGCAGGTTCCTTTAAATGTTAGGCACTGCACTACTGCTAGAAGAATAAAATGTGTGTCCCCTGTTGTGAAGTATATTCAGTCTAAAGAGATAGACAAAAGCTATAAAGCCAATGATATAACTGTATGAAGTGTATACATACAGAAGAGATATCTAGAAGCTTCTGGAAGCTTCCAGAAAGACTTTATAAACTCTTCCTCACACTCCTCTTGGGGAGGCCCACTTGTGCTGATTTTTTGGCAAGGCAGGAGTGCAGAAAAAAGCTGGCTACAAAGTATGAAGGCATAAAATGTGAGATATGCTAGTGGAATTATTTGCAGTTTGGTGTGGTAGAGAATGGAACAGGAACCTGATGAGACCACATGGTGAGAAACTGTAGTCAGCCAGGAAGACCTGGGGTGTGGCGTTGAGGCACGAACAGGAAACAGAAGCTTTGGGATACACTGTATGTTCTTTTTATCACCGCTGGATGAAATAGAAAACAAGTTGAACATGGTTCTGAATTTGGGAAGGCTGACCTCTTGCCATATATTAAGCACTATTCATTATGGAATTCAGTGGCTGCTTTTGTGTTTTAATTTCAGTGATACAGTAACATCTACATCTGCGACTGGCAGCTGCTGCCACACTTCAATAATGAATTTTACTCTAGTAGGGAGACAGACCAGGAGTCAGGGGCTGCTGGAGGTGTGAGGCTCAGTTGGCGCTATGGACACATAAGACACATACCCAGTCTGGGTTGTAAGGAATCAGAGAAGGCTGAGGGGAAGAAAGCCCGAGGGGGCGAGAGTCAGCCAGGAATGGGCCAAAGGAGAGTTCCCAAGGGTGTCCTGAGTCTGAGAAAGCAGCTTGCATCTGGGAGGTGTGTGCTGTGCTACAGCTGAAGGGTACATGAGACGAGGGGGTGGCACAGGTCGGGGCACAACGGGAGAGGACTATCATTCATGCGAGTTTGACTTACCTCGTGGAACCTTGAACATTGTGTTATGATCAGATTTGTGTTTCAGAAAGAAAATGAGGGGTAGGGTGGAGCCAGAAAGACAAGTTAAGAGATTACTTTGGCAAGCTAGGGAAACAATGAAGTCCTCAAACAACAAGGACAGTGGCACTGGGGATGTTTATTGCATTGATGAATACATTCATGAATTGAATTGATGTCAAAAGCAAGTCTGAATTTTACCATTGTATATAACACACGCAAATAACAATCATTTAAAACACTGAGATAAGTCACATGGGTATAACAGTGTGTGCTTTTGATGCTATTTTCAGTAAATAAGATTAGGACTTGATACACACATAAATATAACACAAAAACCTAAAATAAGAGAAATGTTCATACAAAGAGTAAAGCAAAATTATTCTTTGTGACAGGCTAGGACTTCATTTATTATATATTAATGTCCCATTTTTGGAAGGTGGTGTAAGGAAAGTTATAAATATATTGGCATGTTCTCTGTGAATTCTTTACCTTGTATAATAACTCTATAATAATATATTAGTATAACATAATAACCTGCAAAAGTTCAGTTTTTTCTTTTACTATATTGAGATCCATTTTTCTCATATCAAAATATGTTTTACCAAATGATATTGAGGAAGAATTTCTGGTGTTCTGTTCTTATCTTTAATCAAAGTGTCATATTCTTTTTTATTTCAGTTAACAGATGCTAGAGACAGATTAAGATACGAGCTTGATAGTGAAAAAGTATTAGTTCAAGATATGGTAAGATAATTTAAATTTTTCACTAATGAATTTGTTTTGAAGAATTGAATTCTACCATGAAAGTTTTATACTTTATTTGTAACTTGCTGTGGACTATTCAGTCACCTTTATAAAAAATCTATGTGCCTGCATAATTATAAACATGTTTAAATATGTATTTTTAAGAAAACACTTTGAGTAGTATAATAAATACACTTAGAGAATAGAAAGCTCTTATCTAAGAAATAGTATTACCTTTTAAAGTGGTGTACATAATCTTTTCATTTAGCTGTAGCGATTTTTAAAAACCAGTATAAGAGCCCAATATTTTGAAGGATTTGCTATTTTTAGTTACAAATTGCCATCGGTCACAACAAAAAAAGAGCCCAGCTAGATATTTTGGCATTCTGTGTTAGTCTCATAAGAAAACACTGCCTTTTTATGTTCTTTTAAGACAACTTTCCGGACGGCTGGTCTTTTATTTTATCAGTTGACTCCCCACCCCCTGCCCCTCAGCTTAGGGTAGTGTGTGCTTTCAACTGATCACCACTAGTATGTCTTTGTTACAGTAAACTGGCTGTGTGTATTATAATAAAAAATAAAACACAGCTTGACTTGCGTTCTAAATGTGCTCGGAAAGAATATGATACTGTGTAGAAGAGAAAAGGTTGTTCATAGGAAATCAACACCACTTCAGATATTGAAACATTTGCTTCTTTACAGCTTGTCACATTTTGTGCCAAGCCATGACTGTTTCCTCAACTCTGTTTTGTTGCTCTCAGCACCCTGTGTTTTGGGTTCCTTGTCATAGAAATTAATGCAAAACAATGCTCCTGGATTACAATAAAGCCTTCTATGAAACCAACTCGGGGATGCAGGCAACGGGGAAAAATTATAGCCAGCTATTCACAAAAACCATGCATTAACAAATATGTCATTTTGAACGTTTTGCTTTTAAGTACCTGGCATACAAAAATAAATAATCGCTGTCATTTGTGTCACTTAGTCATTTTTCTTCCACCCCATCCTGACTGTCTTCGGTCATCTCTGTGAAGTCTGGGCTCGGTTTCCCCAAAACAAACAACTAAATGTGTGCATATTGTTATTGAAATCAAAAGTGTTTTAACAGGGTGGGAAGCAAATGTTATATTATGAGTTTGTTAGCAGAAACAGCCAAGAAATTAAATTACACAGTCCGTGAATTTGTGCCTATGCTAGGAGCAGACTTCATTCCCTTTGAGTTACTTTGCCCCTTTCCCTTTTCTAACTGTAAGCATTTAATAGATGCTATTATATTGCACATGGGAGAACCAATCACATTTTATTTTGCTGTTTAAGAAATTTGTTGAGCCCCAAGCTTGTTGCCAAGTATCAACAGTCTGTCTCCCAAATCCCCCAAGAGCCTCCAGGATGCTTGGAACTAGTTTGGGGGTTTGTGTTTCCTGGAGAAGGAGTGAGCTGATGGTTCTCATTGTCACCAAGGTTGCCACGGCGCACCTGCCCTGGGCTAAGTAAGCATGGCCGCTGTTTCCTGTCCCTTCTCCCCCTAGCCTCCTGTTGTGCACTTGGAAGGAGGCTGGCTTTGTTACTCTTGGGCTCCTGTGTTCTGCGCTATCCTGCTTTTTTCCATAAACTGGGATTTGTGATTGTAGTGATGAGGAGCGGGAGGTTGGGGAGTTGACCCCAGCCATTTTAGAAAAATTTAAAACATTCTAGCTGAAAGGTTTTTGTCCCACATTTGTCTATTACCATGTCTCAGTGCAGTACAAGTTATGTTCTGGGCTGTTGAGACTCTAGTGTAAAATAAAGGTCAAAAAGCTGGTAGTACGGGTGCATGTCATTATGTACTTGTCCAATACCAGAGAAGGTACTGTATAACTTCAGAAGTGAATCTGTCTGTATGGACATGGGGTGATTAATGATCTGCCAGTGTCTGTCTGTTCATCAGAGTTTACATAAGTATTGCTCTAATTCTAGAGTTGACGGAGAGAAGGACAAAGGTGAGGATGGATGTATGCGACAGCTATCTGTACTTTCTGCTCAATTTTGCGGTAATCTAACACTGTTCTAAAGAGTAATTTCTTTTTTTGTGGGGACCTTTTTGAAACAGGTCCTCTCTGTGCAGTTCAGGCTGGCCTTGAGCTCCCTTTGTAGCCCAGGCTGGTCTTGAACTCACAGCCATCAGGGGGTTTATGTCCTCCTGCCTCAGCCTCTTGAGTGCTGAGATTATAGGCATGTGCCACCACATATGGCAATAATTTCTATTTTAAAATGGGAAAATAAAAAATAAAAATAAATAAAACTGGTAGTAAAAAGGTACAATCAGTTAATACAAGTAAGCAATGAAGTATGGAGAGATTGGATCCTTAATATGAGTTTTGACAAAGTGTATGAAATAATTTCTTGTCTTCCTATGATTCCTAGGGTGAGTTAGCCTAAAAATCTGGAGACTCACAAAAGAGGGAGAAAGAGTCCTCACAAAAAAGTACCATGTTTGAATTCTTCCTCTGACCTAACTTCCACCTGCTTAGTCGCAGTGTGTGAGGTTTCTCTGAACAATCTAGAGATAGGAAGGAGGTACAGGAGTTGCTCTAGCTTCAGACAGGGAAAACAGTACCACATTACCACTGCAGTCTGCATGCGCTCATAAGTGGATTCCTGAAGTCTGAGTTCCCTTGAGTCAAGCTTAAAGTCTTCCCAGTCCTGTCTCATGTGATGTAGCAGTGTTTGACCACCCTGCTGGGAAAATGATTTCCTTCCATCAATTTGTGCAAACCTTTATGGACACTGATGTCCTAAGGATAGCGGCCTTCAGTCAAGGCCAATGTAACATGAGCATGGTAGAGCGTGCTGCATCCCTGTATGCTCTGGCTGGCAGAAAAGCAAGTTTTACTGTCCATGTGGTCCTTGTTTCACCACCAGTGAGTCCTGCCCACTGTTCTGGCAAATGTGTTCCATGCAGTCCCAGACACTGGATAGCCCTGCTCAATCTTCACAATCTATTTATGAAGCCAAAGGGGAAGAGACAAACCTTGGAATGGCAGAACGCCCTTGAGCATGTGTTGTTCAAAGTTCATCTGATGAGGCCCACGGACTCTCTCAGCAAAGCACCCTGCGTGAACTCAGCAAACACAATTTTCTGCTTAGAATCAGGAGGTTTATGTCAAGATCCTCAAGTACAGTTTCTCCTAGCTGAAGTTCCCTCCCTTGACTGCCACCTGGTTAATGTCCACAGATGCTTTAGTTCAGACACCACTGCTTCAGGAAAACTTCCCCACCGCACACTACCTGGATGAGATACGCACCTGACATTCACTCACATGACACCTGGTTTTCCTCCCCTGGCTCTCACCACTCTCTGTAGAGATGTCCCATTAACTGATCTCTTTGCTGCCAGTGAAGAACTGTACCAGCAAATTTATCTTGTTCGAGATTATACCCCCAGGAGCTGGGGATTTAGCTCAGTGGCACAGCGCCTGCCTGGCAAGTGCGAAGTTGTGAGTTCAATTCCCAGTACCAGAAAAAAAACAAAACAAAACAAAAAAAAACAACAAGAGATTATACCCCCAAACCTAGCATGGTAGCTGCCATGAACAGGTGCTCCATAAATATTTGCCATGAGTCAATGAAAGAAGCAATAACAAAAATGAATGGGTAAAAATGGCTTAATTCACAAATGGCATGAATGATACATAGTTTAATAAGCTGGTAATACTGTTAATACACACATGCTACATAATGCATAAAATTACTAAGGTGTGGTTTCCACTATTAACTTCTAGGTCCTATCCCTGTGGGTCTCAAACTTTCCGCTGCTGACAGCTCACCCTGGTTTGCCCAGGACTCTTGATCTTAGCACTGCAAGTCCTACAGCCCAGGAATCCCTCCATCCTAAGTAAACTGAGAGACTTGGCCATGCTAATGGCGAGAGAACTGGAAGCTTCTCCTATCAGTTCAGGGATTCTAAATGTATATAAGTTCACAAACCTACTCCAATGTAATTAAGAGGATTCTGAGGAACTGAAATTCTTATGGGAAAGAAGGTCCAAACCACAATGATACTGATTATTGGCAGATATTATCAAGTGAACTAAGCCTTCAAACTGCTCCCTCTAAAAATATATTACAAGCATATTTGTAAAAGCATCAGAAATCGAGAAGGAAATAAAGGGATAATGGACCAAACATACAGGGATCATCTGAGCATTCCAAGGTTGGTTTACCCTACAGGGATTTACCAGTCTGCACTACACAAAGGCATAGTTCAGAGCACAGGGTGGAGGAGATAGCCGTGATGCCTCATATCAGCTAGAATCAAAGACCATTTTTGCAGAGTGAATTGAATGTGAACCAAAAGTAAACCTGTAGCTTCCCTAGCACGTCAAAGGCTGCCAAGGAAAGTTGGCTCCATACTGAACAAAGTATGGGGGAACAATCTCCTCCCGAGGGGTTCTGAGGATATACGGGGCTTCCAGTGGGTTTGCAACTCAAGTTCGTGTCCAAGAAATCTGAAACCTCCCATTTAGTTGAACAGCAAGGACCCTGACAGAAGCAAATAGAAATACTCTTTAGAAGAAAGTACTTTAATCCTAAGCCTCAGAGAATCCTATAAGTTTCCCTTAAATTGATAGGAGCAAAGCATATGACACAATGTAAGGAAGCACAGTGGAAAATAAAGAACCACAAGTGAGAAACAATGTGACTACCTCACAGACTGCAGAAATTGGCATTTTCCAGCAGTATTTACTATCTGTGGCAGTTTGATAGGAGTAGGATCTGGCCTTCATCGAGACGATGGCAATGTGTGCCTAGTCAGATTTCAGAATTACTGTGAGTCAGTGATTGCTCTGTGCCTCCCATTCTTACCTTTTTGGGAAAAGAGTGGGTTCTCTAGTGCTAACCCTGTGTTCCACTTATGGAGACCACTATGAAGCAGACCTGAGCAAGACTTAAATTAATCAACTGGCTTTTCACGTTCACTTGTGAATCTGTCCAAGGCCTAGGCTCCTTATCTGGAAATG